AATTTGGCGGACCGTCCGCTTTGTCAGCCCTCTGTACTCACAGCGTCAGCACGGTGGGCACTAACGGCCGCATCACGGCACTCCTGTTGAATGGACGCAGGGCTGAACTATACTCGAGCCTGGTCAGACTGCACGCGAGCCTGGTCAGGCTGCACGCGAGCCTGGTCAGACTGCACGCGAGCCTGGTCAGACTGCACGCGAGCCTGGTCAGACTGCACGCGAGCCTGGTCAGACTGCACGCGAGCCTGGTCAGACTGCACGCGAGCCTGGTTAGACTGCACGCGAGCCTGGTCAGACTGCACGCGAGCGGGGCCGAACTGCCGTCGTGACGAGTCAGATTGCACGCAAAACGAATCGGACTACACGCGAACCGGGTCAGACTGCACGCGAGCCGGGTCGGACTGTCGTCGTGACGGGTCAGACTGCACGCGGGCAGGGCCAAACCGTCGTCGTGACGGGTCAGACTGCACGCGGGCCGGGTCAGACTGCACACGAGCCGGCTCGAGCTGCACGCGAGCCGCGGGCCGCCGGCTGACTGCAGCAGGTGCCGCCAGGTCGGGGCCCGTCATCGGCATGGGCTCTGATGGCCATGTACCTGGCCGCTCGATGTACCGCGGTGCAATACTCACCAGACAGTCGACCGACCAACAGCGGAGCGCCGAAACCAGCGATTAAGGCCGTGCAGGTCCGACTGGCCCGGTTCGTTCCATGGAGAACAATCCGTGTGCTCACAACAATCTAACGGCGCTTGTTTGCGATACCCATCGCGGCATACAAGCCTTTTTCTGAATTATATTTGGCTGGGTTTGCATCAGGCGCCATCATCATTTAGAACCGCGAGCAATAGATCCGGTAAATTGTGGTTCTTTGTCCCCATGTTGACATACTATAACACAAATGGTGCAGGAGGTGCAAGTCAAACAAGATAAGGATGTATTGTTTTGCCGCTCGAGACGGGTCAATGAGCAAAATACCTACCGCAGTGGCATGCTGCCCCGGGCACCACGGTCACGATCCGTGACAACTCTGCTGCCTCCCGGCGCGGGAGGGTGACGTGATCAGCGAACTCACGGTCACGAAGCCATTATTAGCCCCTACGTAGGCAGGCGAACAACCACGCCACCGGTGGTTCCGCTCGGTGACTTTGTTCCGTGGAGTGACGCGTCGAGCCGTTGTGTTAAAACAACTGCGTCGACACATTGCGCGAGCTGTCTCCGCCTGCCGTGGACTGGGCTGTCTGTCTGTCTGTCTGTCCGTCTGTCTGTCTGTCTGTCCGTCTGTCTGTCTGTCTGTCTGTCTGTCTGTCTGTCTGGCGTCTGTCCTGTCTGATGGGGCTGGCCCGCTACGCTGCTTTGCAATTGTCTGATGTGAGCCATCTACGTTGCTAAAATGGACATAAATGTGATCCATCTGGTGTTGGGGGTCCCAACGAATGGTCTGAAGATGGCGGCTTAGATAGCTGCTTTCCATGCCAGCAAACCGTAGCTTTCAACTTGTAAATATACTTTTAACTTGCTCCCTTGTAAGAGCAGCTGAACGAGTTCTAGCATTTCGATGAGAATAAATACAAAGGTGACGATGCTGATGTCCGGTAGTTAAGTAAATACCTGAACAATTGGGTTTGTACCCGGCTTCTTTCCTTTTGATCTCCTTTTTCTCTTTCTCTCACTCTCTCTCTTTCACCCTCTTATATCTTCTCTCTTACTTTATTTAAGGATATCGGCGTTTTCATTAGAGTGGGGGTGAGTGGATGCAGATTGAACGGCTCAGGCTGCATTTTGGTAAGGAAGGTTTTTGAACCAAATTTTGCAACCTCATCAGTTTTCGACGGAAACCCATATCTAACCGAAACATGCCATGTTCTCTTACCCCACCTGATTTGTTAGTACATTGTACGCAGTGATGACACCTGCTGTCAGGTGTACAGTTACACAACATGAGTTTGAGAAAGGTTAAGTAAAAAATCATTTCAACTTTCCACGGACACGCGTAATCTTATTGATGCTCCCGGATTTTTTGATTTTCCATTCATGTAAAACTGCTCGCACATCATGTTTTTTGACCTGAATTCAAAAGAGCCAGTCGCGTCCAATCTACTAAAGCCTTCAGGTGTGCGTTGGACCTCTACAGCCTCCTAAATTGAATGGTGGAAGCTGTATTACTTGCATGAAGCACGGTAGTGGTCAAAAACCATAGATTGTGAAAAATTAATGGTTCTCCGGCGACTCTTTTCAGTCAAACAGTCGCCCACGAAGATATCAATAGTGCCTTTGTTTACTAAGGTTCAGCCTTGGGAAAATTAGCTAGCTGACGCTTGATACCGAACCGCATCTAGAAGAACCATGGTTCAAGCCACTCATAAAGAATCAATAAAGTCCTGTCACACTGCAATTTTATGTCGTATTCCTTTTCACCAGGCATTCGCTTTTCTGCTGCGGTATTTCTGCACAGGTTCGAATCGACCATGTGTCTGCGAGAGCCTGGTATATGATAGCCATAGCAGCATGCCGGCAACTTATTCATGAGATGGCAGTACGCCGCAGCGAGTCGAGCTCACGTCGCACCCGGTGTCCTGGAAGCTGTGTCGTCATGCTCGCAACTTAGGACAAAGATTAACAGATAGCACCACGTCCTTGTAAATGGCATCCGTGATATGATGCGCTGCCAAAAAGTGAACGGACGGCATTTATTTGTATGGTAAGAAATCCTTTGACAGCGGCGAAGACTAGTGAACACGGAATAAGGCGCGCCTGCACCGCGGAACGAGTTCTATGGTTTGTTACTTCCGTTATTCCGAACAGCTTAGCAGGCAAACGCGCTCACTGATTAACGACAACAAGCTAGTTTACGATCCAGTTTCCGTGGAAGCTGACTGGTAATGACCCTAATCATTTCAGCTTACGAAAGTGGCGAGCTTGCATTAATCAACGTTTGCGCTTCCACGTCACGCTAACAAAATGGCATGTTAGAAATGTCGCCAGGTTAGCATGACACTTCAGCGAGCAAAGCATCCTCTATAACAACGGTTTGTGTGTCTTGACTGGAAGGATGCGTAGGCGTAGTTTTAACTCGCCTACGTCTTTTCTAGAAATTTTTCATTTGCCACACTTTCCCGATGTAAGGTAAGACGCGAGGTGGCAATAGGGAGACTTGACCTGATCTCAGACACCTGAAACATGTGAAAGGAATATTTCACATGCAAAAGCAGACAACTCAGACCTTAAAACCTACTGTACCGCTCGCCGTGAAGCCTTCACCATTGGATGCGCTGTACCTGATTCCACCTTGGAGTTGCAAATTTGGTGACGCTAGGTCGGGTCAAAAGTCATCAAATTTTGCAACTTCCATTTTGTTTCCCGCAGGCAACTCACATAGGCCTCATTGCTCCGATGGTCTCCAAACCTTTACCATTCGATGAGATATATCTAGCATTTACGATGCGTGCTATGAAGCCATACGCTATTCTTTGTGGTGCCCAAGTGCGCAGGCATTTGTATTTTTGCGCTCGTGCACATTTAGTAACAACATTTCGACATATTTTGTGCGCAAATGCAAGGCCATCTTCTTCTTTTTTGGTGACCAAAGGCACGCAACATACACTGTGCAAGACATATCCAATTTTCGACACATCGGGACAGTCGTAATCATCGAACCACTCATTGACACGGCTGTGCATGACATGCGCGGTGGAGCTCACGGTTGACCAAAGCAGTGACGTACTTTCCGTCATTTTTACCACCGCTTGCTTCTGGGACTTGTACCTAGATGACAAGCTACACACGGAGTGCAGAAAGGAAATCATGGACCTGCCACAGCAGGACACTGATTAAACCGGTTTGTTTCGGTCAGGTCCACTGGGTCTGCCCTCACAACCGGACACGCCAAATCTGCAACATCCGTCACAGCCTTTGGATCAAGCTCATTTAGATTCGGCGGACTTCGGAAGGACGTGGAGCCAGCAACCAATAAAAGGATGCTGAGCAGGCATGTACAAAGTTACGGCGGAGCGGTATTCGCACACCACACACATTGACCAGTCACGCACCCCGTGTTCACCATGGCCATGGCGTGGATATGGCTACGGTTTTTTATCGCGGCGACACCATGCACAACTTAGCACGTGACCTTCAGCAGAACACCTCTGCTAAGGTGAAATTCAAGTAACAAATGACATCGCTAACCTAATAGGGCCAGCCCAGCCAAGCTGCGCATTTCCTTGAGATTACACGTAAAAAGAAAACAATAATTGTAAATAACACCATACTTGCAGCCTCAACAGAGAATCGGTTACGGCTGCATGCCTGGTAAGGTTTCGCAGAAGTCTAACAATAAAGGAAGACATTGTGGATGGCGCCATATTTTAACGAAGATTAAAAGGAAAAGACAATCGTAACTGGCGCTATGCCTGCAGCTTCAACAGGGGATGAAGTGTGGCGTACTAGATGACAAGGTTTTGTAGCCATCGGTGTGGTAGGTTTTGAGAACTGGGTTTCCTACAAGCAAGAATTTTGGAATTTGAGAAATTTGATGACATTTGGCCTGACCAAGGGTTGCCAAATTTTCAGCTGTAGCAGGGAATCACACAAGGTGCACCCAGTGGTGAAGGTTTGGCAGCGATCGGCTCGGTAGGTTCTAAGAACTGAGTTGTCCGGAAACAATAATTTTGGAACTTGTGAAATTTGATGACATTTGACCTGGCCTTGGGTAACCAAATTTTCCATTTCAAGATGGAATCCGGCACGGTGCATCCAGTGGTGAAAGTTTTACATCGAGCGGCAGAGTGGGTTCTGAGATCTGAGTTGTCTGTCCGTACGAAATTCTCCCTTTGCGTTTTTGAGTGTGTGATCACAGGTCAGGTCTCGATATTACCCCCCTATGACTCCACTCATTGCACTGAATCGATTGGTGAATGTTCCAAGGCTATCGGAGGGGCCGTTTCAGAAAACGAGCATGTCTGCTTCATATGTCGGTTTTTAGATTCTACCCCAAATGTCTCCTACCGGCCTCGGTCTCTGGACAAGGCAGGCGACAAAGTATCTCCCGCCGACTGAGTCGCACACGACAAAGTCTCTCCTGCCGACTGAGTCGCACACGTGTGTCGCGGCTTATCACAAACATGGCCCCCAGAATATCAGGCTTGCCGGGCAGCAGCATCTTTTGAGCCAGGAAGACCACTTGGTCTGCCATGTGTCAAGGCGACATTCATCGAAGTGACTCACGCAGGTCAGACACATGGTCAAATCTACATCGGCCAAGAATCACTCCGGCAGCGAAGTTTAGGTTCTTTTGAATATAACCAAAGTTTTTCTGTGTACAATTGCCATAGACCATGAGACAAAATCTGACCTGCGTGAGCACCAACGATGCTGGTAGAATTTTGATGACGTCATCTGAAGGTAGTGTCGCGCATGGAACAGGCCTATCTACACGCCCATACACCGGCGGCTGAGCTCGGACACGTGCGAATCGCAGGACAGGGCGCAGTGAAAGACAGCGCCTCGGTTCTGCGCCTCCGCACATGGTCGCAGCGCAGCGCCATGAAAGCTTACGGTAAAGTCCGGAGGGGCGCGTAAATTTTGACGACTGCCGAAAGCATAAGTTGCGTTTTGGCTGCGTTCACTTTAAGGGCATGCGAACGCATCCAACAGCTAAGTGATACGAGCGATACTTACATGTGGGAGTTACGTTTTCTAAGGTCGTCCTTCGGACCGCTCACCAAAACCTGGGTGTCATGTGCATATTGAAAAACGTGTGCGCTTCTGCGTACAAAGGCAGATAAGTTGTTCAGTGCATTAGCGAGGAACATTATTCACATAGATGAGACAGTGGCAATAACCCTATTCCTAGGAGAAAAACCAGGAGAATGGGGATATGGATGGTTTGCTAGAGTTTTGATATCTCTATTCTCCTGCTTTTTCTCCGAGGAATAAGGCTATTACTACTGTCTTGTATATGACAGACCGTTTAAGAAAACTCCCAAAATAAGTGGGCTTAATGCTGGACCTTGGAAGACACCCATGTTGTCGGCACGCAACCGTGACAACATCCTGAGTCTGGACATATCACTCAGGCACAGACTCTGGATGAGCTCCTGAGGATAGGCAGGAAACCAGGTCTCAATACCATGCATCCATAGCTTCTAAATCCAAAATTTGTTGATCAATAATATCAAAAGTTTAATGAAACCAATGCAGCACAGAAGCGAGCCTCCCCCTATGTGTGGCACCAAGAATGCCGTCTGAGACCGACGCCAGCGCGGTTTCCGTCGAGTGACTAGGATGGACGAGTGAGAGTGACGAGTGACGACTGCATGAAAGTGGCAAAGCTGCCGTTGGAGGACCCGCTCGACCACTTTGGTGACAACAGGAGCGAGGGATATAGGATAAAATATAAATAGGTCAGATGGGCTACCAGCTTTAACTGGGATAGACCTGGGATTGTTTCTAAGTACTGCGACATCTGAATGGGTAAGGCAAGAGTTAGCAATTGCGAAGGGTCGACGCCATCGATAGCTGGAGAAGTCACCGGTGACGTTGGAATTCACTGGTGAGCTCCAGAAGTTTGGAGCTTAAGGTTTTGATATCTAGAGCTCCGATGTGCAGGTTCGCGTCGACCGTCTTCCATCTACCGCTGTGACACCTCCGTCCGCGGCACTGGGTCGCGGGGTGTCGGCAGTGTAGTGGTTAACGCGTCTGCGTTAAAGGGAGCATCCCACCTTTTTAGTGTTTTCCACTTATGATTAGATCAGACGCGTATGATTTGAACAGCGATACCGGCCTTCTCGAAATCCTTTTGAATAGTTCAAAACTTCGATTTGAAGTACCCGATCCTGCAGGAGAAATCTGTCTTGACGCCCCTGCTCATCGCCATGAAAGCAATGCATTTCATTTGCCTTGCTTTTCCAATGTGTGGTCTCTGCGACGTTTGAAACGCATTGATGTGTAAAAATGCTTGTGCCATAAATACTACGAAGGCTTGTAAACCTCTGCTTCGACAAAACGACATGCAAGCATGAAGCTATCATCTCGCAAATTCAACGAAATCTCATACTATGGCTTTGTTTCCCCACTATGACGTTAACCGCAGTGGCTCTTTTCGTCATGGACAAGAGATATCATAGTTTCTGGTAAAATAACTTTCCGCCTGATTCCGGGGAGGTGTATTGCTAAGTGACGAGTCGCATACAGGCTAGAATGCGTGCTGCTTTGTCTTTGTAACAGACAGCGCGTTCAAAGCTGTCAAAATCCTGCTATTGTTTTGCTATTTGTTCCTAACAAAGAGACAGTGCGTTTATTTCTGTCCAAAAACCACGGCAGCAGTACTGGTGGTTGTACATTTTGCTGATAAACTTTGGCCAGTGCGTTCCCAAAAGGTTATGGCAGGTACCTATTTGTGCAAATGTTTTGGCACAGTGTTCCTTTGGTTCTTGGTGTCATGCACAATACATGGGAACAGCTTGGTGTTTGCAAAGTGGATATTTGTTGTTGTTTTTGTGCTTTCTAGCACTAGTGACAGAAGAAAACAGTCGTTGCTGTCAAAAATATGGTCTTCTGAGTACTGATCATTACTTGGGACTGGAAGCGGAACCAAATGGCATGGAGGCCAGTTTGAACCACTCGCCCACACTGTTACCTCCCACCACCTAGATGGGTTAGTATTATACGCACTACACAGCCCACTCTCTTTTCCATTGCCAAGACAAGCCTGCCATGTCCCAGGTAGCAGAATTGACTATTTACTTCAGTAGTCATTTTTCAGTGCTTGCTTGTTACTGTATTATTCTCTGTTTTAGTCGCAAATTTGAAGTTGCAAGTAGAAGCTGTCATGCTTCAGATGTCTATTTCAGTGATTTGAATATTTGAATTGCTTTAAATCTTCGTATACGAATGTTTTAATTATTTATTTTATATTGCAAATAAAACTGCTGTTAGGCTTGACACGGTTCCTTTCATTAATTTGAACACGGCTTATTAGTCCTGGTTTCATCTCCAAATCGCGTGGTTGCAATCACCAGGCTGCAAGTAAAAATTTTCATGCTTCAAAGGTCTGTTTCAGTTTTTTGAACACTTGGATGGTTTTAATAATTTGAACACAGGTGTTTTAGTTATGTATTCCACATCGCAATTTGAGCTGCTCTTAGACTTAAACTTTTTCAATAATCCAACATTGGTTTATCAGTCCTGGTTTCATCTCCAAATCACCTGGGATATTATTTGGTCAACCATAATGCAAATTATCTCCCTGTACATTAATGCACATATCATGTATGTAACTTTTAACTAGCATCCAGTAAAGCTACAGTTTTGGTGTTCCCTGTAGCACTTTCCCCCGCTTTCAGCCACAAGCATTGATGCGAACAACACATAGTGGCAAAACTGTGTAAAAATGAGTCACCAACATTGCCTTGGGTTGCTGGTGCATTTTCACTTGGTGACGGTCCATGGCCACTAAATGAATCCTTGTAGTAATGAGCTCCATTGTTCCACTGTTCACTACCAGCGGTGACCTGGATGAGCTACCCACTAAAAGATCATTGACTGGAGTGAAACTTTGTTTGGCATGTGGTTTTCATCTGTTTCAGAATATCTGCACCGATTTTTTTAGAACAAGTGCCCCGGTGTCTTAAAGCCTAGAGATGAACCCCAAATTCTGACATCGAGCTCAACGATTCTTTTGAGCTCGATACCATCCATTCATGGTTTTTCAAGTGGATGTAACAACAGCCCGAGCGCCAACCAGTTCGTCGCTACATTCCGGCACTCGCACGGGACGCAGCAGGAACATCACAAGGCTGGGTCCCAATCCATCCTGGCCGTGGGTCCCGAGTCCAGTCAGCTTGGCGCCAAGGGCACGCGTAACACCGACAGCACCGAGGTGCTCGATGTACTGAAGGGTCGTGATCACCGGCCGGGGCTGTCCTTCGTGGTCACCAGAGCAGTTTGCTATGTCACCGTGTTCGTCGTCCTAAGGGCACTGGACAGAGAAGGCTGTGTCACCTGCCAGGAAGCACTGGTGAGCCGCCTGGAGCCCGACGATTCCACACCTTTATGCCACCGTCTGTGACTGAAAAATCGCGGTGGACTGGTGAATCGCTCCGCAGGAGCAGTCAAGAGGTGCTTCTGAGTGCTGAGAAGGAGCTCCACCGTTACATTGTGCAGCTGGACGCGGCTTACCATGCCGTACCTGAAGCGGATGCTGAAGGGCGCGGTGGTGTGCTGCATCGGCACCGATGACGTTGGAGATCCGGGCCACCACCTCCTGGGAACTCAGTGTGGTTTACCAAACCACTGCACCGAGCTGATCAGGATTCTGGTGGTAACCTACCGACGGCTGGGTCTTCATCACCAAACGAAGCTGCACAATGCACGCCTGCAATGGGACAGGATCCTAAAAAAAAAATGACTAAAACAGTGCTGTTTAGGGAACATTAGGCAACCCGTAGGCTCTGATATTCTGTCTTCATTTGTCCGGTGACATAACCAGCAGATACCCTTTCCTGCAATAATCTCACACCTCTCGGATCGTCGGATTCGTCCGGCCTATTCCCTGCTATCTGTTTAAGCTCTGTTATACTTCAGCTGAGCTTTCTTAGAAAAAAATGTCTGTGTTTTGATGTGCGGTGTTGAAGTATCTAAATTTGTGTGCGACGTTTGATCAATGTTTGGTACCAGTTAGCTGTATAGTTGTCAGTAACTTAATACAGTTTTATCGTGAGTTCCCAGAAAAAGTGTGGGTGAAGTTCAAACATCATTCTTGAAACATGTTTTTGGCGCTTCGAGACGGTCCGGTTGGTTGGATAAAGTATTCATGTTAATGCCGTGATAATCATCGTTGTGTAAGTAGCGATCTGGTCTTGAGGGCTCATAAGTCTTCAATCCAATTAGATTGCCTTTAGATTAGATCCGATTAGAAACAGGGTAATCAGTCCCTGACCTGCCCGGGTGCCTGCTCGCGCGCTCAATATACCTGAATATGGCAAATACCTCTGCTCTTGACCTGTCTGTGAAGACCATTGAGAGGGCCAAGCCAGCGGAAGGCAACATCACGCCCCGCACGATGCAGATTCCGTAGCGACTCTTACGTCGGCGCCTCACTCGCGGCTGCCGACCAGTGGACACCGGCAGCATCACCGAGATACCAGTGTGCCGGCGTGCACCCCACGGCAGTATCGAATATTGCGCCCCTGG